TAGCTCGTGCTAGACTGTGGTATCTTCAAAGTTGCCTGCGATTTCTGTGTTGCTTTTCCGATTTACGACCTCGCCATAATAGTTGCGCCATTGCCATTACTGTGGCGCCACCACCGCTACCCGGCGTCATCTTTCTTCTCATCACCCTCGTTATTATTAACAATAACAATCAATTTTTCGATTTATTATTATCATATTTGTTTTTCGTTCAAATCAACAAAATCAAAATGTATGTATTCATTTATTTATTTAAATTTTTACTTATACGAAACACTCTTAAAAGATTATTAGACATTCATAACATAAAGTTCGAGTTAATTGATATTTAAATTTTAAAAATGGTTTTATCTTGTGTTAACGATTAGCAATGATTTTATTTATAGAATTTGGAAAGAAAATTTGATAGAAGATTAGATGAAGATTAGAATTAACACGTTGCCGCACACTTTTAATTTGACGATCGTGCTTAGAAATACGAAGATCGGACGGCTATAGCCGTCATTTGCGGCAACGTGTTAACTATGATGTTTGAGAAGATAATTAAAATTGAATAAATGAATATTTATAAATGAAATAGAAATTTAAAAATGCTTTTTAATAAGTAATAAAACAGCGGTATAGAGAGATTTGAAAAAAATAGACGCGTGTTGGGGTCAAATTGTCATAATGGTAAAACACATCTGGTCATTTTACACACTGCGTAGTATATTCTTTTTTTAGAAACATCTATTACTATATAAAGTGTTGTACTTCGAAGGAAACGTTAACCCTATTCTTCAAGTTTTAGATTTATCTAATAGAATTATCTATAGCGTCTATCTTTGAAATATATTTCTTAGAAAGGACCCAACTACTTTTCTTAATTTATTAAATTACTATAGGGTGTAAAAAATTACCAGAACAGGTAGTTGGTTCGTTGGTTCGTTTTACTACATTTTGCAAGACCCTGTGACAATTTAATAATATTTATCAAAATTATAAATGAAAGAATATTTTTTTTTAATTAACATAATAAAAATATTTATGCACATATAAATATAATACTTTATATAATAATGACAATCACAAAAATTTAATTAATTTTCTTTTTCCATTTGAAATAACCAACAAATGTGATGTATCCACACACATTATTTACATTCAATACTTAAATACGAAGAAGACTATAGTGTTTACTATTTATGATTTACTTTCAAACAACATACAATATACATACCTATGAATATTTATCCTTATCTTTTTTTTTTTTACATAGTTTCATTTAATTATAATCGATAAAGATACAAAAATTATTTCATCCAGCCACAATGAACTATCTCGAATAATAAAACGAACAATAAAATTAATAAACGCTTATCAAGATGACCCAAATTTGAACAATAAATTATACTTATAGATAGATAATAATATAACAAATTTCTCGATATAAATAGCATGTGAATTAATTTTTACATTGTCTATTATTCATTTAATCATCCTTGACCTTGGTCTGGAGTATTATGCGTTCGAACGAAATGAGATCAAAGTTTTGTGTCTTTAACACGACATCAGTAGCCCCCTTAAGGAAAAAGAATAATTGTATTATACATCGTTATCGAGTTACAATATTTCGGAACAGAATACGATCTAATTCGTGTGTATAAACGTTCGCTAAATGTGAGATAAAAATAGACAAAAAAAATATTCTTCTCGGCGACCTCGAAAACGTGTAAATCAAACTAATATAAAATGGCTGCTTCTTGAATCAGTCAGGGTCAAAAAGGCAAATTCTTAGCTTTAGTTTCAAGAATCGTTTTTAATCGTTTTAATTTCTGTTTAATTACTGAAGAATCAAGTAAACAATATTAAAGGCGATTATTGATTATGATCAATATCAAATGTAAAAGATCGAACTACAAATTACTTGTTTGAGAAAAATAAAAGGAAAGAAAAAAAAACGCAGGAAAGGGCGGGGGAGGGGAGCGGTAGGGAGGGGGAATGTTCACAGGACCTCGGCTTCATTTTATCTTTTTTTTTCTTCTCTTTCTCTCTCTCTCTTTCTTTCTCTGTCTTTTAACAATCCTGCTCGTTATCCTTGATCGGTAATGTAATATGTGACTCACGTTCGTAAGACGAACAAGAAGAGCACGAAACGTTCTTCGTCTTCGTCGTTGTCATTGTCTTGTACTGTCTTGTCGTCTCTCCTTTGTAGTACACACTTCCTGGCATCATCCTTCAACACGGTCAAATTTCCCCTTCTTAATCGAACTGATAGTATTTCAGATTGACAGGAATTATTAACAAATTTTAACACGCGAATGCAACTTTTCTTAAACACCGACATTAATTTTTATCACCATCCACCCCTCTATCACCCTCCCCTAATATTAAATTGTACGCATGAAATTGTATCGATAGAAAGAAATAATAATACTGTTCACTGAACGTTATTTTAATCCTTGATGATTTTCAATGGACGATTTGCGTCCATTCTTCGCCCGAGGCGACAACTTCTTCCGATGTAGTATAGTAAGTAAGTTTTATCATATACGTAATGTATCTTTTAAATTGGTTAGAGGTCTTCTTAAGAAAGTCCTTCGGAACGAAACCAGTCCTTGGTCAATGGCTTTGATAAACGTCCTCTCCCTTTTATGATCTTTGAAACCAGAACTGTTTTTTTTTCTTTTTATTTCTCACTCTTTCTCTTTCTTTCTTTCTTTCTATATTTTTTCTTTTCTACCTTGAAGTTTCATCACCTACCTCGTGTCTAGGTGAATTAATTAGTTCCGCGTGGTTGTTTAAAGTTAAGAACACATTCCACCTAAACCATTTTACGAGCACATTTTTATCTTCTCGTCGTGATACGTTGTATAAACGTTTCATTTTTTGAAAACAACGATAGAAGAGAATGAGCCTTTCGTATTTTATATTCCACTTTAGTTCAACCTATCTCTACCTGTATGCATATAATGATGCTTGCTCGCACGCACACGTGTATGTATGCATAAGTGTGTGTGTGTGTGTGTGTGTGTGTCCTGTATGTGTGTGTGTGTCCTGTATGTGTACAGTTGTTCCAGGTTATAATATCGTATTTTCAATAAACTCAATAGGGACAATAGAAATTATTAGTAATTTGTAAAAAAAATTCTATCGCTTAAAAATGTTATTCTTTTTTTTCCCTATTCAATTATGCGTCCATCAATGACGCAAATCGATTATACCGCCATGAAACACGAAGGTTCTGTATCATTAAATGAAAAGTCAATGGGTTTCTTTTCGTGTCGACGGTCACGTAGTCCTTATATCATGAGAAATTACTCACCATGTTGTTAGTTTATGTGGTCCTCTTCTTTTTTTTTTTTTTTTTTTATTTTTTTTCTTTCCTTTAAATTTTTATGGAATTTTTCTATTTTTGCTATTTCTTCTTCTTCTTCTTTTTTTTCTCTTCTTTCAAACAATTTGTAAGAACTCGTGACTTCGTTATCATTGCATTTTTATTTCTAAATGCAATTCTTTTTTTGTAGGTAATAAAATGATGTAATATAATTTTAATCATAACTATTAAATTATGGATTAAATTGAATCAATTTAATTTTTTCTATGTAACCTATTATATAATGTTTATTATCATAGAGTTATTTATTGAATCAGATAATAAAGATGAAGTTTTCTTTTTTGTTGTATAAAGAAGAATAAATTTCAAATTATAATACAATTGACATTTTTCATTAACGTCGATTTGTTGTGATTCATGTTCGTAATTTAAATACGATACGATTCCCAACATTGCATTGTTATTTATCAGATTTCGATTTATCATCATAAAAATGCAACAATGTGTTTTAATTGTGATTAAATAAGCCAACGCGTAATTTGTACATTTTAATATATAATTATAATTTGAAATTGTGTTATTTATAGTTTGAACGCGAAGATACAAGGGATTTTTTAAATGATTCGATAAAATAGAAATGAAACTTTTTTCTTCTTACTTGTATTTGTTTAAATTATAAATATCATTTGTTTATTAAAAAAAGAAAAAGAACTTATTCACGAAGAGTCCGTATCTTGGTTCTCAGAATAAATGATATACTTTATCGAGGTTTTATGTTTTTTTATTTTTTTATTATTTTTTTTTTATTACGTTATATGGTAAAAAAATTGTTTAAATAAAAATTTGTATAAAAAAAAAATTACCGTGTTTATGATAAACACAGTCAATTCTCAATTTTTGAGAATAGAAAAACTTGCCCCCAGAGAGATTTGAACTCTCGACCCCTGGTTTACAAGACCAGTGCTCTAACCCCTGAGCTATGGAGGCTTGTGTCAGTACTCAACTTATATTTTTCCTTATACAATTTTTGTTTACAAACATGATTCCTTTTGTATGTTATGTATAATAATGATCACAATTATTATTATTATTTATTTAAAAATATATTACACTAAACATAATTTTATACGAAAATTGAAATAATGAAAACATATGTTCCATTATGATAAGTAATAATATTATTTTAAATGTAAATGTTAAAGTAGAGAAAAATATATTTCAAAATGTCCGCCATATTAAAATTTATTTATTTAAACATTGTATACATTAAATAAAATATATTATTTGTATATCTTTACCGATAGATCTAACAAATGATTATTCGTATATCTTAACTTTTCAATTTGTTTTATTCAATTAAATAATTTATTATAAATTATTGATAATGTATTTTGTTTTTATACTAATACCATACATGTTTTAATTATTCTAAACTATTAGCAATCCGTGAGCGTGAACACGTTTATTCCTACGAAAACTAAACCGCAAGGTCAATAAAGACGCCAGTATACTTGAATGCAAGACGAATATTAAAGACTTGCGTGATGGAAAATACTTCCATGTTTTCTTGAACTTATTCATGATCGATTATTTTCATTATTTATTTCCTGCATATAATATATATATTCTATATAAGAATGAATAAAAATGTAAGACATTTTAATGTATATACTTTTATATTTATCAGGTACCCATGAATGAGCCAGATTTTAATGTATTGTGGATGGGAAATCACCCAAAGCCAGATGTTCTTCGTAATTTACAGTCCTATCAAAAAGTTAATCACTTTCCAAGGTATAAAACTTAATTATTATGATGAATAAAAATGTTTATTGATGAATAACTTTATTAAATTTGTTAGATCGTACGAGATAACGCGAAAGGATCGTTTGTATAAGAACATCGAAGCTATGCAAAGAAGTAAAGGCTTGCGAAACTTGGATTTTATACCACAAACCTTCCTTTTACCCAGTGAATCAAGAGAATTACTTACGGCGCATTTTAGGTACCGAGGACCTTGGATCGTCAAACCAAAAGCCAGCTCTCGTGGACGCGGAATTTATATTGTTAATAGTGTGAGCATAATCATTTTTAGGTATGATTTTCTGTAGAGAGAAATAAGGGTTTCTGTTCGATTATTATTTAACTTCGATATCATGCTGACTAAATTGATCTAACTTTTTTTACTATAATAATATTTATAAAATAAGCCCTGTTTGTTTATTTGATATATATATCATGTACATATAATTAATCATTAATAATTATTTATTCATTTGATTATAGCCTGAGAAAATCCTTACAGATGAATCTGTGATAGTTGCACAATACATAAATAATCCGCTGTTAGTGGATGGGCACAAATGTGATTTACGTCTGTATGTTGCTGTAACAAATTATGATCCATTATTGATATACCTGTATGAAGAAGGATTAGTGCGATTTGCAACAGTTAAATATGATGGTGGTAATCAATACGTTTGGAATCCTTGTATGCACTTATGTAACTACAGCATCAATAAATTCCATGTAGATTATGTTAAGTAAGTTACATTATCCTCCCTTTTTTCCTCTTTACGTTATATTTCGCATATTTATGCATGAATTTTAATTATTTCTTGTTTCATATAAATTATGTATCCTCTAATTTTTATTATTGTTATTTATAGAAGCGAAGATCCAGATGCGGAAGATGTGGGCCATAAATGGACATTATCTGCATTATTAAGACATTTGCGTTCCATTGGTCAAGATACTGAACAACTTATGCAACATATCGAAGATATTATTATTAAATCTATTTTAGCTACTGCTTCTGGAATTGTTAGTGGTGTTAAACAATTCGTTAAACATCCGGAAACATGTTTCGGTAATAATAATTACATTTTTAATCGTTTGTTCTTTACTTTTTTATTTGCCATCATAAGTGAATAACATATTTATCGTTTTATAGAATTGTTTGGTTTTGATATTCTGATTGATGATACTTTGAAACCTTGGTTATTGGAAGTAAATTTGACACCATCATTGGGATGTGATTCTCCGTTGGATGTCAGATTAAAATCAGCATTAATAGCTGATTTACTTACTCTTGTTGGTATTCCCGCTGTAGATCCAATGTTACGGCCTCAAAGTATGCACCTTAATCGTTCTTTGGCTAATCCCACTAAAAGAATGGCTGGTGTAAGTTCATTAAATCACTAAATGTAATTTTATTATCTTCTTTCATACATTTATATTAACTTATTGTTATTTTTATTTTGTAGTATAGAAGAGTGCAATCCGCGGAAACATTAACTCATAAAAAGAAAACTGTTAGCAAAAGTAACATTATAAAAGGAGGATTAAGTTCCGAACAACAACGAATAGTAATTTCTGCTAAAGCACAATTTGAAAGAAGAGGAGGATTCGTTCGCATATTTCCTAGTCCTAAATCATGGGAAATGTATTCGCAATATTTAGGTATTTACATTTCATTGAACACATTTGATGAATATTTAAACGAATATACAAGGTGTCTAAAGCTTTTCCGGCTAATTGGTAACAACATATTCTATGCACGAAAATAAAAAGTAAAAAATATAAATTATTTATATTATATGTTTTTATATATAAATTTATTATTTGTTTATAGATTCATCAACTGGTATACCAATAGTTTCTGATCCATTAGGGCCTGGAAGAATTCCACAATCAGTGACCACAAATTACAATTTAATGTTACACGAACAATTATTCCCTGCAGCTAATCGAAATACTGGTTTTGTTATACCAGAAGTTACATTGGACAGATTGTCCAGGTAATTTTCTAATTACATATAAGTTATTTAATTTTGAAATATTATTTAAATAATATTCATCATGTCTATAGATACGAAAGGTATGAAAGAGCTTTAGTGAAGGGTCATAAACAAAGTTTAGATCGTGGTGATAGTAAAGAAAATATGGATGTAGATACTCATAAGTATAAAAATTTAGTTATTAAATCGATGCAAGAAGGAAATACATTAAGGTTTGTACTTTATATCCTTCAAAAATATTCCTATGTAAATAATTTTTTCTCGGTTAGTTTGATCAATTAAATTATTATCTATCGCGTGTATTTTTAGTCCTGGCGAAGCGAGGAAAGCTTTTGGTTTATATCTGGGACACATACTTCGTAAAATATCGCAATCAAATGCGGATCCTGCTTGTTGCGATCTTGTCATGAAATTTCTTCAACAGTCTTCGTGTAACTTGAGAACTCCGTTTTTATTTACAGTAAGTTGAAAAATTTGAAATTTTCTGTATTCAAATGACGATATGAATATTTAAAAAATATCATTTTTGTATTAATAGTTACCAAGCAGTAAACTCAGTGACAAGGATCGTGCAGCTATTACTGCTAAACAATTATCAGATTTCTTACACTTGTATAACAGAGAAACAGAACTTTACGCGGATACGGTTGATCGTCCATGTATCGTACCCAATAGACTTTTCCAAAAATTCCTGGCAGCTGCACGGTAATTATTTATTAATATCTGACAAATAAGAAATAAACATCGATCAAAATAAAAATAATTATCATACAATTTTCATATTTGACGATACAGCGAGGAGGATCTCGACGATGTATTAATCTTGCAAACCCAATTGTACAAATGTGCACACAGTTTTTTGGGTAGAAGCGGTTTCGCTGGAAGTTTACGTGGGCCTAATCTTTTATGCTCGTTACCGCATATAACTTCCCGAGTGTATTCAAATGCCGCTACGACCGAACAATGCAAATGCACACAATCCTCAACAAGGACTACAAAAGCTCCAAGAACATAGAGTATAATGATATTATTTATAAATTATCATCCCTTTATTATTATTATTATTATATTAAGATTATATATAGTATACGTATTCTGGTTTGAGCGGACAATCATTCATTAGGGTACGAGTGATAGTTGTCTCTCTTACACTGGCGCGAAAAATGTAATTACGAGATAAATATTTTGGATACGCTTTAAAAGCGCTTTAAATATTTAAAACAATTCTATAAAATAAGAAAAGTTTATCATTAGCGTAAGGTATAAAACGAGTTTACAACAAGAATCTTGCTCGAAGTTTAGTCATTTTATTGAATGTCCAAACATTGAAGAATTTTTGAGCAAAAATTTGAGCTGCGTTATTCCCAAGCTAGTCTTATAAAAATATATTTGACAAATATTTTACATCAATCATATGATTAAATTATGATGAAGGAGCGGCACAATGAAGAAAAGCGATTATAGATATGATTATTATACGAATTGCCAAAGATATGTAGAAAAAAGAAACAAAAAAAAAAGAACCTGGAACAGGAAAAGAAAAGAAAATATGTGATAATTTGCATGAGAATAATATATTAATTTTATTAATCAATTACAAGTTCGGTAAAATGCAATTCGATATTTTATTGTATTCGTGAAAATTTGGCAAACAAAAATATTATTAATTAGTTTCTTAGCACAAATTATAGATATATTATCAATAATTTATTTTATAAATATTACGAGATTATAGTAATATATAACTCATATTTATTTACTATCATGAATATAGAAACTCATTTTTTAATAATAATAATAATAATGTAACAATTACTTATGTTACTCACGATTGATGAAGCATATATATTTACATTAATGTTCAAAATGTTCCTATGCTTACTATATGTTTCTTTTTTTATAATTAATTTAAGAAAAAAAAAAACAACAAAAAGATAATATATGTCGGCATCCATGTATTTGCATCTAGTCACAGCTAAAGGAATATTTTAATTATCATCGAAAGGAAATTAATTGTATAATATACAGCAACATGCATGCATCTATTTATTTATTTATTAATTTATTTATTTATTTACGTTTAGAAGCAACTTAAGCTAAACGTTACAAGAAATATTTTAACATATCGTAAAAAAAATGCAACTCTAACAATAATAATATTATAATAATAATAATAATAATAATAATAATATATTATAAAATTTATGCAACGCAAAGCTGTTGTTAGAAATTAGTTTAAATAATTTTCTTTTTTATTTATGTGTTGTGTTTCATTACAAAATAGTATGCAATATGTAGTATACAAAAAAAGAAAAAAAAAACAATATGGATGTCTCGATGCACGAGCAAGGCTATAATATTGTACACATCAATTAAATATAAATTTGTATAAGATAAAGTTAGTATTTTACATTTATATACCGCTTTTTTCAACGATATAAGCAAATTTAGAAATGAAAGATAAATTGTACAGGCACTCATCGAAATGAATTACGATGATGATGAATGATGATAAAATGTTGTGTAGTTAAGCTTATTGTACGTAGAGCAGCAATATTTCCATCCACGTAATTCCGTCGATATTTTGAGAATTTACCGCTTTTTCTTCCAGATGAAAAATATTTTTTCACCCAAACGCTTGCTAAATATATTATTATATTTACTTGATATTGTATTTAAGATATAGAAATGATGTGCTAAATGTTATTCACGATGATAAACCATTTCAATTTGCTTACTGTGATATATAGGTACATTTTATGTATCATAAATGAGAGAAAAGAAAAGCAAGAAAAATATGATACATCCGTAGCGTAATTCTTAATAAGCCGTTTGATTTTTTATGCGCAGTACATAATGAGATCGAAAAAAAAAAACATTTGCTAATGAATATTATTTAAAGAAAAGAAAAATAAAGGAAAAAATGTAGCATCGTTGTTTATAAGATGCAGGCATCGTGTGTACTGTTGCTAGCTAATTGAAAGAAAGAAAAAATAAGATAACTCTGAAAACATTGCTACGGAGAAAAATAACAATATAGGAATGGTTAAAAATAGTTTACCTAATTATATATAAGCCTAATATTTAAAAAATCTATAATATATTGTATTACGAATTTTATTTTACAACGAATAAGTATTAATTCCTTGGATATTTATAAATATTAATTATGCAATTAACATCTATGGTTGCAATTAACGCGGTTGCAATTGCAGCTGGCTTAGGATATGGAAGTGTTTGCTTTATATTTAACAAAAAATTAAGAAGTTTAAACAAAAAAATACTAATTCCATTTATAATGCATAAACAACAATACATATTTGTCTTGCTTGCACAGTGAAAATAAAATAACGCTATCGTTGAAACATTTATACCTATCTAAATGTGACAGCATTAATATTTGAAAAAAAAAAAAGAATATTTAACAATATATTATATAGAATATGAAAATTTTACTCACTAATTCTGATATATTCGCATCTTTATCAATAGATGATACAATAAGTTTGATAAAAGATGTACATGCATATCGTTTGTATGCATTATTATCTTCAAGTTACAAAATAAAAAAACTGCGAGATCGGTTTCCTTCGATTTACATTTAAAAAAAAAAAAAGAGAAAAAAAACAATATGTTTGATGTAAGTTGTATCATTTAATAAGAATAAGTTTAATTTATTGTATATGTAATGTGCACAAAACAATATCGTTCACTTTGTCAGTATAGAATATTTTATTTGCAAAAATTACTTTTATCGTTTAGATTAATTTAAGTATACTTTTTATGGAATAAGTATTTTGAACAATTAGAAAAAAAAACGAGCAAAAAAAAAGTAAAAAATATCTGCTCCTAAGTTTGGAGTTAAAACTGCCTTTCCTGTTAAAAAAAAAAAAAAAGATATACAGGCTTAGTAAATATTTATACTTAATCGAAGATTTACTGTTAATTAATGAACTATAGCGATCATTTTATTTTTCATTTTTACCGATCGTTTATAATAAAACTAATCTATATATCTTTGTACTTTTACACCCTGAGTGTTCCAAAATAACTTTTGTTCGATTATATCACTACTATTTGTAATTATGATTTCATTGTATTTTTGTAATTATTGAAATTATGTTAATTATTTTTTGTTTATACTATGTTATGTTATTTTTATTTTGGATTATGTTATTAACGTGTTCATTGTGATTTTTTTAATTCAAAATATGTGCAATAAGTTAATCATTTATTAAGTTCGTTTTATTAATTTTATTAATAAACAGAACATTTTTAATTATAATACAATGCATATGATTTTGAAACAAACAAAAAAATAAAAAATGAAATAAAATAAGAAGCAATAGCAAAAACCATATACAAATATTTAATCTGAAAATTTATATAGGTGATGCAAATGCAACACTCCCTTCCTACCTGTGATCTTTAAAATTTACTAGTCAGCTTATTGCATTTACTTACTGATAAATGTATAATAATAATAATAATATTAATAATATTAATAATAATAATAATTACAATAACAACAACAATAATAATAATAATAATGCTTTATACAATATAATATTATAATAAACATAGTTGCATAAATTATTTTATTATAATTACTAATCAGGTAGCATTATAGCATATGCTCAGATGCATGGCAACTGTATTAGAATGCATAGTTATTTTAAATGTAGTTAGTATGTAATATAAAGAAAGATACATCGAATTAATATCTTCAATATTAAAATATGAATCTCTTTAGTTGTTATGAAACTAAAAATTTTTCTAGAAGTTTTTCTTCAATCTTTAAAATGTAATACGGGATGCATTTAAAATAATATTCCATGTTAAATCATATTTTCGCATTATAAATTTGTCATGAAATAGAAATAAAATCTGAATAAATAATATATAAAACGTATACGATATATCATACGTTATTATTGTTATAACCTGATCATCATAAATATAATACAATATTTATATCATTGATTTACATTTAAGACAAAAATCTGAAAGGAATAAAATTATATAATTTAAAAAAGTCAATCCTTTTAGCGCGAAATTCATTTTAAAAATGGCGGCACTATACACGCATGCGCACTGTGTTTGATTATTCTATATTTATTAAATTATATTTAAATAAAAGCTGAATACGTTTAATTAAATAAAATTGTATTCAAATAATAACTTATTATACATATTCTAAATATTATTAGCAAAATAATATAATTTGTAAAACTCAATAATTCTCAAGAATTATAAATCAATTGATTTGAGAAATGACAGAACTGAAATGCGCATGTGTATTGTGAATCTGGTTATCCTATATTTATTAACTTATTTAAAGAAAAGCTCTCTATACATTTAATTGAATTAAGTAAAACATAAATAATAACATATAATATACATTATCTAAATACTATTAAATACATTTAACAAAATTTGTAAATGTTAAGTAAATTAATACATATACGTGTATAAATATATAAATTTTCGATACAAAAATATATTATTTAAAGAAAAAAAAGAAAGAAAAAGTACACGTGTTACCTCTTTAGTCTGAAATCATGAATAAGAGTTGCCTTTAAATAAATACAGATAATTATAACCTTAAAATAGGGAATATAATTAGTCAAAAATTATTAATTTTATACTACATGTAATTACATTACGTGATTGTATTTTATATGATTTTGGTATATCTATATATATACTTGAAAATCGCCGAAAATTCGAAGGTTACTACAAAGGCGGCAGTTTCAGACAATATTTAGAGAAGAAAAAAAATTGGCTCTATAGTCGTCTATAGATAGATAGATAAATTCCCCTTCTCTAACAATGATCGTCGACATTCTTCGAGAGAAATTCAATGTTAACTGAGTTTAAATAAAACCGGCGTTTATCGAGAGACACACGGTACAAATACCACATATACTTCAATCATTTTTTCTAAATGCATTTTTAGATCTTTGTCAACAACAACAATGGCGTCATTAATAAAAATTGATGGAAGTTTGGGCGAAGGGGTAAGTGTTTATTTAATTCTCATTAAATGTTTTGTAAATCGTATTGAATAATAAAATCATTGTCATCATTGTACAGGGTGGACAAGTTTTGAGAATAGCACTGTCTTTGAGTGCACTTTATGAAATTCCTATAGAAATAAATAATATCAGAGCAGGCCGAGCTAAACCTGGATTGGCAGCTCAACATTTGAAAGGTATGCTTTTGTAATATTTATTTGTTATCAGAATTCAATTATTTACTATTTTTATATGTTTCCTTTATGGTTGTGCATTATTTATTAATACTTCATTTATTTTTTAGGAGTTGAATTGGTGAAGAAAATGTGTAATGCTGAAGTTTCAGGAGCTTATATAGGATCTACGCATTTAGAATTCTATCCTAAATCATTGAACAAATATGAACATGAATTTGAAGCTGATACACAGACAGCTGGGTGTATATGTTTGTTGGCACAAGTTGCATTACCGTGCGCTTTATTCCTACCACAAAAATCTGATATTATACTCGTTCTTAAAGGAGGTACTAACGTTCCTATGGGACCACATATAGAATATCTTACAGAAGTGATGAGACCGATATTGAATAAATTTGGAGCGGATTTTGATTTTGTTGTATTAAAAAGGTATTCGTTATTTTCTTTTTCCTTTATATTTCTTTTTCAAATGTGCATAGTTTTTAATTAATATGTGATTGGAGGGGTTATTATCCAAAAGGAAAAGGTATAGTGCATTTACGTATAAAACCGATAAGAAACTTGAATGCTGTTCAAATAACTGATCCTGGCATACCTCGTGGAATATCAGGTTGGGCTTACGTAGCCGGATCAATAAATATAAATGTATGTTTAAATGAATTATATATACGTTAATTACTATTAATATATATCTTGTGTTTTAGGAAGCATATAAAATGGCTGGTGATGCTAAAACCATCTTAACCAAAGAACTTAGTAAAAATAATATTCAAGTTCCTGCTATTAATATTGAATCGTACAGAGAAGACAGAGGAGTCGCCGTTGGACATGGATCTGGTATTAAGTAAGTTATAATATAAATAAATAAAAAACAAGAAAATTGATACTCAAATAATTTTTCTTTTATAATAAAAGATATTAGATTATATTAATTTAAAAATATTAATAAACTATTTTTATTAAATTTAATTAACAGCATAGTTTGCTCGACAACAACAGGTTGTATATTTGGTGGTTCTGGTTTGGATACGGTACATAAAGGACCAATTTTTCCAGGAGTAAATGCAGCTAACGAAATTCTAGAACCACTTTTAGCTAATTCATGTATAGATGAACATACTCAAGATCAAGTAAGCTATTTATAATAATTTTATGATTTATTTATTATTCTTATTATTATTATCGTTAATCTTTCTTTATTTAGATAATAATTTTCATGGCATTGGCTAGAGGGATATCAAGGGTTAGAGTAGGAAGCAAGAAACTTACTCTTCATACGGAGACTGCAATAAAAATTGCTGAAATAATGTTAGCCAGTCGTGGACTTCATTTTCGTTTGGTAGAAAACGAAAGCGTGGGAGATTCGCCTTCGTATATTTTAGAATGCGAAGGATGTGGATTGATCAATAATTTCGTAAAATAATATTGAAAATATGTTATTATGCACGAAATTAATTCGTGTTAAAATAAAAATTTAAAATAAAATTATTATTGCATCACAATCTGCTCATTTTTGTAAAAATTGAATTATTTTTACACGCATAGCAGTAATATTTCCAGACTAGATTTTAATAATCTATTTTAAATTATTTTCTTATTTTAACTATTTTATACCTTGAATATCTATTATATATCAACCAATTATATGCATTTTGTCAATTTATTTAATAAATGAACTTTTTGCAATATTAATTGACAGTATTTAAATATTAATATATTTGATGGATAGTATCTTTGATATACAAGAAATGTAAATCCTTAATTTTATTCCTGTTTTTGTCGAAAAAGTGGTTCCATAGTTCGTAAAACTTCCTTTTCAAATAATTCATTAGAAAAACGATTAACGGATGCTCTGGAAAAAATGACGTTTCATTGGAATACACAAATTATGAAAAGTTGATTATTTAAATATATTAACTATTATATAATATATTAATTTATTAAAATATATACCTTGCAGCTAATCTAATAGTCTTTTTATCCTCAGGATGCATATTTATAATATATGCTAATATTTTGGCATATTCTTCTGCTTCTTCCGCTAAAAAGCCGGTTTGACTACCAGGTTGTGTTTCTATTATGTCTGCTCTAAAATATTATATTATTTTAGTTAAATAAAAAAAGAAAGAAAAATTGAACAAAGTAATTTTTCCTTTAAATCATAAAATTTCAAAACAAATCCATTTCTACACCTTGGTCCACCAGAAGCATGAGCTACCATAATTAATCCAGCAGCCATGCATTCTACTACACTGATACCAAAATGTTCATTCCACATTGCATGCAGTCCTATCGATGCTTTTTGTAATTCCGATACAAGTTCAGAATAGGGTATATTCAATTTAAATTCAACATTTTCATCCAAAGCAAAATGTTTAGATAAGTCTTGCATGTCTTTAACACGTACTTTATCTTCCGCGTCTCTACAAGACCCAATAAGTACTAAGCATATCTAAAAAGATAATCAATAATTTTTGTTTATCTAGCGATTTGATTTTACAAAAGAAGAAGACCATTTTTATTACCTTGTCCCATATTTCTTCTTTAACTATTGATCTCAATTCGTACATAGTTCTCAACATTAAAGGATGATTTTTTTCTGGTCTAAATTGTGCAACAGACACTATTCGTATTTGATCATCTTCTTTAGTATCGTCATAAAGTGGAAGAGATGTTAAATGTTGTACATCCGTTGGCGGATAGATTCTGTGCGTTCGCAAAGGACATTTCCAAATACTATTAATATGTTCCTCCGTCCAGGAAGAATTCACCATTACAATATCTGCTGTTCTACCAGCAAATCCATATAACTATATGAATAATTATCATATTTTTATAATGCAATATTAAATGTTTAATTATATATTTATACGTAGATTAGCAAAAATATTTACTAATGCAAATAATCTATAATAAACAATTTTTCCGGCAGATAAAAACGGATTTCTTGCTATTATACGACGATTATTATGTGATATTACACGTCTGTAAACGTGTCTTAACATATCAGTCGAAATTGTAGGATAGTGAGTGTATGATCCAACTTTGCAACCTCCTATATATTTAAACAGTGGATATGTAAAAGCATAGCCCATTGTATCAATATAAATATCTAGAATATTAATAAAATACATATTACATAGTTCAATAAAATAATAATCATTTCTATTACTTGCTATATTACAATCTTACCTGGTACTAAATTGTTTAAAGCTTCGATACCCAACCAAATAGAACCTAAACTTTGTCCCAAAAGTGTAAAGTAAGGATACATGTTTGCTTCTACCCATTTACGTTTATGAAGATATATAAATTCAATGTTTGATTGAATTTTAATATTAAATGATTTTTGCGATTTATTTAAAATCTGTTCAGGGTCGGCATCCAAGTCACCGGTATAAACAACTATATGTATATTTGGATATCTGTAGAGATTAATGAATCAAAGAATAAATATGCATTCACCTTTGATATATTATCAAAGAATTTGTTAACTTACTTAGACTGTACAGCTTTAATCATTGCCCAAAGTACTTTTTCACCTCCACCACCTGCATTACAGTATGGGTGGAAAAATCCAACGACAGTTCCTTTTTGTTTCCTATTTGTACGCTCTTTTGTATACATTCTTCTCCAAAATATTAATAATATTGGTAATATGAGTAAAATACATATAAGTGTAAAGACAATTAATATCAATGTCATTATTATTAATAATATTATAGGTGTTCTAAAAGAAAATAATTTATTTAATATATTTTATTTGATTCAATGTTTTTTTTAAGTTTGATATTACAAGATTCGCATACGATATTGAAAAATGATTTATATTAAAAATATGCTTACAATAAAGAATAAATATTCATATTCTTTCGTTTCCAATGATCAATGTATACAATAATAAATCTCAAATGGTGACGTGTAATATCTTATGTGATATCTTTAATTTCCTTTTAAATCTAACCTAAACAATGTCAACTTTCATTCATACAAAATACATAGATTATTACTAAAGTTATTATAAGTCATTATTAAATTATAAATGCGATTTGTATTACTTTATCAAATGATATTTATAAATATATTAATAGCTTGAAAGAAACAGGAGGTGTTTTCTAACCTAATTAGAATTGCCAGAAGAAAAATCTTTTAGAAGAGATAATATAATATCAAATGACCCCCATTATACTCTATACTATAAAAGTTGCATCATATGATATAAGTTATGTTTTATATCACGTTTTATAATACTTTAACTTAACTTAATCTTAATAATCACAACACTGTTTCCTTCATTACCAACTAATTTTTTCCTTTTTCCCTTAATATGGTAACGTTGAACTTAACCTAACAACTTTTTCTTTTTTTTTGTAAATTTATGAAAACGGTAAGGTATTTTTTTTCAATTTATTAAAAAATGACATGTTTATTTAAAAACATGTTATTAACAAGTCAATTATTAAAAGAACTTCATGCTTATTATAAAATAAATTATTTTCTGTACTCATCGACAAGAGTATGGATATACCAGAGACTAAAAGTTTATCTATTTTAGTGCAATACGTAAACAAAGGCAAAATACAAATTAATTGAATAGAATTTTTTAAGGTCAAGGATGATATGTCTGAAAACTTATACAAAAGCTTTGAATATTCATTAAATAAGCATAACTTGTCTTTGAATAATATTGTTGACATTAGTATTGATAATGCAAAATCAAAAGTTCAACCGTACAAGACTAAATGGCTAGAATTTTTTGAATGTATTCAAAAAATATTACATCTAACGATAACTAAACTAAACTGACTAAACTAAACTAAAGATGATAGTGGTAGCGATTGTTAATATTCATTTGTATAATTTGTATTTATATTTATGTATTTGTATATTTGTATATTTGTATTACATATTTTATATAATTATAAAATGTTACAAAAAATTATCTTTATATTTGATTTACAAGACGCAAGGGCACCGATATTTTCACTTGAAACTAAATTCTATGAAAATCAAATAAAATTAAATTTTCGTCAAAACGTGTTATTACCCAACTTTGAAAAATCAGGTTCAATAACTTGGATGGAAGAATTACCATCTATTAACGAACCAAATAAAAGCATTGCAACAATAGAATGTGCTGCATTCAATCTAAATGTTTACAAATACTCGTTACAAAATGACGTTAGCTTAGAATCACACATATTTGTTGTAGAATATTCAGGAATGGATGAAAATGGTTATTGAGTAGTGAGACTTGTTGACAATTTCACTATAAGCAATGAAATTATCCCTGATCTGGAATTCACTTAGATTATTCCAGATAATCTGAGCTTCGAAGATGCTGCAACAATTCCTCAAACTTATTTTACAGTTTTCTGCATGTTATATTTTAATACTCTTAAGTTTAAACAAATAAAAACTATTTTGGTACATTTTGGTGCTAGTGACGTAGGACAGGCTCTTATAAATATATCTTTGTCGTATAATTTTGATGTTTATACTACTTATGAAATAGAAGATGAAAAACAGATCATAGAGTTGATACGACCACGTTTACCACAGTCACATATTATTAATGTAAAAAAACTATAAAACTGATATTTTGAATATTATGAAGAACAAAGGCTTGGACTTCATTGTTGCCAGCTATTCAGTTTTAGACGATATAGAATCTTGTTTAGGCGTTGTTAAAGATTTACAACAAATGGCAATGTTTTACCATTTTAAAAAGCCTAATTATAATTGTATACCACTATTTAATTTTAATAGGCACTTAAGTTTACATAGTTACTGCTTACAAGACATTTAGCACGCACGGATGCCTGATATATCCAGCGCTCGAAGTGAAAGGGTTAAGTTGTCACCGAAAAAGAAAAGAGAATCAGCGGACCTAATGAGAACAGCCTTGCGAGCGGGTAACTTAAAACAGATTATATCGCGAAAACTTTATCTTCAAGGAATGTCATTTCAATTTTATTACGCATTTCTTTTTCGCACACTTAATATATAATAAATAATAAATTTATTTTATTACAAAATTTCAATTTATGTATTTAAAGAGAAAATGTTTGACTGTGAATTATAACCTCTACTGTGACATAAAACTGAAAACGTAAGAATCATATCACGTGACAAGAGTTATGTCTTATGATACGTCGTCACGGATCTAACTTAACTTTAACTTTTACACTACTTTTTCTCAATAACACGTAATTTTTCTTTTCTTTTTTATTTACAAAACAAAGGAAAGCTTCCAATAAATCATAGATGCTCGATTTCAATTCGAATTTTTAAAAGATCGATTTCTTAGGTTCAAAGATCGATCTTTTGAATCGATTCTTTAGTTGATTTCTAAGTCGAGTTACATGAATCAGTTTCAAATAAAATGTCGAACGTTTCTATAACAAATATAACCTTAATATCAAACAAAAGTTAAAATATTCTTTAGATTAAGTTCTTCCAATATGTATTTATAGATTAATTAGAAATAAACAAAATAATTTAACTTTCTAGTTCAGTGAAATAATTTTTGGACACCCTATGTATATTTATATATACACACATGACTAATACCAACACTGATTGAAAAACAGATCGGACTCTTAGGTACGATTAAAGTTCAGTGCGAATATTGATATTTTCTTAGTATCACCCTATAAATTATACAGAATCTCCTAGTGATGTGTTAGCGACGATCCAAACGTCTATCCTGTCTTACACTGTGTCACTTGTTAAAAGAACTTTAATCGAAAGATCGGAAGGAAACAGTTTTAAACACATGTATCATTTGACGTTTTATTCAATTATTTTCTTGATCTTTCAATAAGCTAGATTTGCGCGAATTTTCATTCCTTTTTCTACTAATTCTTACTTACAATAGTACATTCTTGTTGTTTCATCTCGATTCGTGTCATTGTAGACGCTGCAAATTAAATTCAACAAATAAGTTTTAAGATTCATCTTTAGTCTTCGTTGAAAAAGATTTTATTTTTATTTTTTTAAATAAAAAGTATGTTTAATTGTCATTTTTTCAAAAAGTTATGCTTTCATCACTAATACAACAAACGTGTGTGCATCTAATTTCAAAAATTGAATCTAAACATTTGTTGAACAATTTCATGAGAGACTTTGAAGAAATCTATATGGTGAATGGTGTGTATTATTATATTGTTTAGGACTTTTTTTTTATTTAGTAAAAAGTGAAAATAGTTATTTTTATTTGATGAGATCTTTTTCTTCGTTTATCTAAAAATGATTACAATATGCTTCTACGCTTTGTTCACATCTTTGGTTAAATGTAGTTATCGTTCCAACTGAATGCCAACGAGTGTGATATAACTTTGAATGGTCAACGAGGAAAAGAAAAGAAACGTGTACATTTGTGTTAAAAGTTAATATACCATCTGTTTTGATCATTTTGTAGAAGAGAATGGAGGTAATAAACATAGTGGAGTTTGATAACACCGGAATTGTTCAGAATACAAAAGCTGAGAAATATATTTCAGGTATGCACATAATAAGAAAATAATAATATTATTCATTACTCGCTGTTTAAAATAAGATTATACATGTAAAACTCTTATTGTTGATCATTCTAAGAAATAAAATGTGTTTACAGGACAAGGCGATGAATTATCAATAACTAAGTCAGAGCTTCAACCTTTAAATAAACGGTAAGTATTTTTCTGTTCAATTATAACATTTTACTTATTTCAAATAAAAACTAGAAACACAACTATTGTACGTACGTAGCTTAACTGTTATCATTGTATTCATATCATTGCATAACTTGTTTACACTTAAAAGAATATATTTTAACAGTTTAGACTTCATTATAATTTAAAATGGTTCGGGTTAATTGTCAGTCATAAAGAAAGTCTACACCGGAAAATATAGATTATATTTTTATTTCGTAAACGAACATTGAAAGTATCGATAGAAATGAATTAATTATTTTCCTTTATCGAACAGACACAAATGATTCATTCGATGTCTTCTTTACTTCGTGTTGATCTTCTTTGTAGCGATAATGGTGCATTGTGAAATCAATCGAAGCTTAAATCATATAACTAATTCATCGATCAGATTAGACAAAATATTTTGTGTAAAGACAATGATAATTTCTTTATCAGAAACAAAGAAATTGAATACCATTGATCATATTCCACATAAATATCTTACTTTTAAAGAACATATTTTGAAACAATAGTTCTATCCACTTTTAAAGTTAAAGTTTCCTTACAACTTCATTATTTATGCAAACATATTAATAAGAATTCTTCTTTATTTCCTTTAGTTGAATTTTAGATTACATTAGCTTTGTGAAACCTTGTTCGAGCTCTTATCAAAAAGTTTATATACAAACTTCAAAGTAGATAAAAACTAATTGTTTTTTAACGTTTACGTTTACGTTTACGTTTACGTTTACGTTTAGAGATATATAGTCGTATTTATTTATGGGACCAACTTTTGAGTATTAGTAACAATATAAACCAAATTAAAAGGAGAGACAATGAATTAATAATTTGTGTTATTATTTGAACATTCGCGCGTTATTTTGTTAATTAGATAGAGCTGATTTTAAAATTAGTTTTACGTAAGAAGTGAAATTTTTAAAACGATTCTTGAATTAAATAAAAATAATGTGGCAATACAGTCGGCTTCAAAATATTCAACCATTCATGTGAGTAACTTTGATCTAACAATAATTTATAATTAATTAATCATTTAAAAAATATAAATATATATTTTATAATTATCTGCTGATATTTATTTATTTATTTATTTTTTTTTTTTTTTTTGAAAATACGTGAGCGATATTCTTGCAACACGTTACTTGATCATTCTAATTGAATTATAATAATTAAATGTTATTTTAAATGAACACTTGGTCAGCATTTATTGATTCGTTACTATCTTGACAACTGATATAAATGTTAGTAACAATATTCGAAATACCCGCGTGTTTTCATTGGTTCTTTAATTACGCTGTCTAAATTTTGATAACTAAATAAAAATAACAATTCATGTTTTACTCTATATAGTATTATAATATATTCAAAATGTGCACACATTAAAAGTGGAAAAATATTATTTTCCTTTTATTTCAAAATTTGGTTATGTTCTCCATGCTTTGAATAAAATAATAAATCAAAGAGTATTTCTAATAGACAAAATAGCAATTTTCTCTTAATTCAAAAAATAATCATAATAAATTAAAGAGTTATTTCCCTTTTTTGCAAATAATGTCATAATATTAGATACTTCGAATAATAATGTCATTGCAATGAATGAATCAATGCAATGAATGCAATGGAAGGAGATAAACAAAAAGGGAAAGAGAGATAAATCATAGATCATAGATCATAAATAACTGTTCTAAGAAGACCTTTGATTTTTTTCTTTCTAATTACGTTTTAATATGAATTTTCGTTCCTTCACGTAAACATCTAAAATCACCGTGTTCTAATTATAAGTCAAATTTTCCATTTCAGTCATCGTGATTTCCTAACGAACAATCCCCTTGAGTACACGTGTTTTGCGTACACGTGAAATGCTTTTAAATCATCGACAATTAAATGTGCTTCGTTTAAAAGTAATAAACCTATTTCTCAGTAATGCGTCGTGTGCTGCATTGAATTGTCATGACAAATGCATAAAAAAGATAAATAAAACACTCATGATTTTGTCAACATAATATGCTTTTGTGTGTGTGTGTATGTATGTGTATGTAATTATTAATTTCATCGATAAATGGAATCGTTTTATACTCGATTTAAAATAATTATTAAATCATAGACAAAATTATACCGGAACTTTACAACTGGAGGATGTTTCTTTTTTTTTTTTTTCTTATAACTAAAACCTGTGTTTTAACACTAGATATACTACCATTTTCAGTATACTTATTTCTACCACACTAGTAAAAATGATTGGTGTATAAAAAAATGCTTTTTGAGGCTTTCAGTTTTTATTTACTCTTAAAAAATAACACAAAATGTTTAACAATAATAATTTTAATAGATAAGTGGATTTATATTTATTTTTAAATAACAAAACGCTTAATTATTTACAGAAATCAAATGTTACATGAAGTAGAAATTTTGAATTAAAATAACCCGACCAGTCAAAATGACTAGTCTGGTATATCTAGTGTTAAGATTTAAAAGAAGAATTTAGATAACGTAAAATTCTTGATTTTTGTTTCACATTCATATAAAATAAAATAAAATTATGCAAAATGGAAGGAAGAAACAAAAGAAAAGAATGAACATCTTGATAATACTTTTAAAAATGTCCAAAAAGAAAAGAAAAGAAAATATCTAAATTAGAAAGGACATGTCCTGTAACTGGAACTGGAACACGCCTTTCACTATCTTTCGTGTCATGCATTCATCTAAACCGTTAAACCGAAGGTATATTAAAGATTATTCTCATTCTAATATCCGTTCTCACTCGATGAACAACAAGTGCCGTTTATTTTTGAAACACGAAACAGAAAGCAATCAAATTCTGACCTATCAAGAATCGTGGAACAAATCTAACGAACCATTTTTATTCCGTGTGTGTTTATCCATTTATTATACCTTCGTTGGTACCCCCACCTCTCTAAGTTTACGTTTGTGTTTATAAAACAAAGAAAGAAACAAAATAAAGAAGAAATTTCTAACACTTAACCGACCGATCGGGGAGATCTCTCAGTTTCAATGTAAGTCGGTGCCTGCGACCGATCGGGGAGATCTCTCAGTTTCAATGTAAGTCGGTGCCTGCGACCGATCGGGGAAATCTCCCATATTGATTTTAGCACACAATACGTTTCTTTTTCTTCTTTAATTAATTTACATAGTTGCCTTAATTTATGCTGTTAAAATTATAAACGGAATATCAATCCACGTCACTTGCGAAACCTCCATGGTGGAAACCGTACAGTTCGCTGCAGTGCGTGTGATCGGCTAAGTCTTAAGATAAACGTGGTAAAAGATATTCCATATTTAAAAGAAAAAGAAAACGAAAAACGTGAAGAAAGAGATTATACTGGTGTTAAATAAATAATTTTTTATAATTGGGATAACAAATGACGTAAAACTTTTGATGTCATCTTATAAATTATATTCAATCATTAATATTTTAATTGCCGCACGTCTACGTAAGTCAAACGTCGTCAGAGGCCGGTAATATTTAAAAAAATATTAATTTAAAGAAATTTGATTAAATTCACGAAAAAATTAACATAAAAACAAACAACAACAATTTAAACAACAAATTTAATTTTATATAATTTTAAATATATAAAAAGCTATAAATAAATAACGGTCAATAACGGTTGTTCCGGCAATCACGCAAATGTTGTGTGAGCGGCCATTAAAGTGTTTATTTGAAATAGAATTACAAGTTCGTCGTCATAGATTGACTTCAGGAAAATTTTTATATACATCAGCTTGTGAATTTAAAATAAGAAAAGAAAAAAACAGTAGAAGGAAAATTTATAAAGATAAAAAAAAACAAACCGTTATAATAAATTACGTTTGATAAGTGCATAAAAATTGACGTCATCTTATCAATTATATTCATTAAAATTTTTCGTTTTCTACCTAAGATGTTACGTGTTCATAATAATCAATCATTTTCGTTTTAAAGAATCTATAAAAATTGATTTATCGGATGACTAAAATAAAATAAGAAAATTATTGCAATTATTCGATTACTGATTCGATAAATGATTCGAAAAGAAAATGAAGTCAACGACATCTTGTCGATTATTATAATCAGGATTATATTAATCTTTTGGAAATCATTCAATGAATTTTTTAACGTTGGAAAGTTCAGACCGATAAAAAAAGTGAAATTTCGTGTGCGTGTGACTTTCTTTAATGGAATTTTTCTCTAATTGGAGAAACTTAATGATAATATCAATCCAAATTTGATTATCAAATATGATTGAAATGATTGACAAATAGCTTGATTGTAGAAACGAAATTTTTGTGACAATGATTTAGTGTAAAAAGTAAAATTAAATTTTTACGAATTTTCTGTATAATTTAAAAGAAAAAAAAAAGGAAATTTATTAAAATATTGTCAGTAATTATCAAGACAAATTATCTGATTAAAGAATGCAAATAAAAATTGGATACAAAAATTTGACGATAATTAAATAGAATTTGTTGATTATAAGAAAGAAACCAATTCTATATTATTTTATTTTTATTTATTGCATTTTTCTCTTTCTCTCACTTAATTTCTTTCTTTTTATATCGATCGTAATAAATAAAAAGTGATATGAGTGTGATTAAAAAATTTGCCGAACCATTAGTGCACAGAACAAAATCAGTGGTTTTTCATAAGTTTTCAAAAATGGGATCACCTAAACGCGTTGAAAATGTTAAATTACTTGGGTTAGTATAATATGTATATTATCTAATTTATATCATTATTTATATTTATTGATAATTAAACAAATACATTGTTTATCAATAATTTACTCTGGAACATGTACAAGTATATAAAAATTAAATCTTAAATGAAAAATCTTTCATCTATTGAATATATTGATAATTTTAATACTAATATGAGATTATACATGGGAATAATTTTTTTTACATCGTTATAATTATTTATATACATAAATAATGTAAAAAAATTAATATACAATAATATATATAGAAAATAAATGTAACATATATATATATATATTATCATAATTTTATTATATTATTAATATTATTAATATAATAAATTTATTTATTAATTTATATATTAATAAATATATAACATATTATTATATTAGGGGGACCAGAAAGTAATGTCGTTTTTACGTATGTCAATTTTTATATTATAATCAAAAACCGATTGATTTTTATCGGTTCGGTATTAAAAATGTGCATATTAAATGGAAAAAGGTTGTTGTTAACGAAGTTAATTACAATATTGATTAAAATTAAAAACTTGTTAAAAATTCATTCGTTTGAATTTAAGGTTAAATTACTTTCCGCTCTACCTAATATTATATTAAATTATAATTTAATTAATTATAATAATTAATTTTAAAAAATGTAATTATAATATACATATATATATATATATATAAAAGAACTTTTCCTGAAAATATTGATATAATTACCAAGGAAAAACAAAAAAAAATGAAATGAAATCACATGAAATCGTAAGATCTACCGAAATTAATGAAAATTTGAAATGGTATTAACTGAAGTTAAAGAACAATACTTCTTCTAGTTTTATACTTTGATCGAAGAGAAGAAAAAGGTGCCGTGAGCAAAAGTTAGAGACCGCGTGCACAAATGAGGCACGTCGATATTCGATTAAAGCTTGAGTTATCAGTTGTACCGTGATATCAATTCGAGTCGAGTATACGCCGTGTTTTTGTGGGTTATCCCACTCGTTGTAAGAAAAAAAAAATAATAATAATAATATTATACGAGAGAGAGAATCGGTTAAAACATCTTCGAACAACAATAAGAACAATCGATTCTGTATCGTAAATATTTTTAAATCGTGTTCATTTTTATTATATTTTCTTATATGATTTTTTTGTTTCTTTATTTTTGTTTTTTTACTTTTTTTTTATTTTTGTTCAAATTAAAAAGTGAAACGTTCGAACAACGTGAATAACGGGGAATAAATTTTCATCGGTAACAATTTTTATTTGTCGTCGTTTCGGTGAGGGGGGGGGGAGGAAGGTTTGATTTTATTTCAATAAATTTGTATGAATTAATCGAAGAATAGTTAAAGAATAAAAAAGAACAAAATCATCGCGTTATCGGGTATATTGAAAACAATTACGTATTTTCTATAGTTTACGTATATCGAATTCGTTCGATTAAAATTGCGACTGATTGTGAAATAATAGATTTGATTTTTATCTTTAAAAATTCGCTTGAACGTTATTACGTGTAAAAAATTCATTGTTTCAATTTAAATACTTACTCGTCATGTTTTTAACATAATTCATTCATCACTATATTACTTTGGAACAATTTTTGTATTAAATAAATAATATAATATATTTTTTAATTTCGTTTTGTAATATTAAAATGAATGATATCTATATGTAATTATTAAAACAACGTTCATGTAATGTTATCGCGATTCTAATGATATTGGATAAGAAAAACTGATAAGAATCACCGAGCAAATAATAGTTAAACGAAATATGCAAGGGAAGAATTTTGTTTTCTGTTCGAAAAATATTGTAATTCATTCTTTTCGATAATTTTTTTGTTTTTTTTTTTCTCGAGACGATTTTGTAAATTAGAAAAAAAAAATATATATATAATAATAATAATAATAATAATAATAATAATAATATATATTATTTAATATTTATTATATTATATTTTATATTAATAAATATAATACANTTAATAAATATAATACAAATTTTTTTATTAGATTTATATATAATATTATATATAATATATATTATTATTATTATTATTATTATTATTATTATTATATATTATATATTATATATTATATATATGTATATATAATATTATATATTATTTATTTTATTTATTGCATACAATATAATAAAAATTATTAAATTTTAGTAATTACATAATAAATATAAAATAATATTATATATATTATTATAATTATATTAAATAATATATATATTATATATAATATATAATATAATATATAATATAATAATAATATATAATAATATAATGTATAATAATTATATATATTATTTATTTTTATATATTATATTTTATATATATTTTTTTTTTTTAAATAAACGCGTTCAAAAGAATCTCGAGGTAAAGATTTAGAAAATTGTCTTACACAATGTCAAAAAATGAGGATAAGAAGCCTCTACTTGGGCATCAAAATTATGGCGATTTTGATCATTTTTGGTAAGGGCTGTGAACTTCTTTTTTCTTCTCTTCTTAAACACGACAACCTCCTTTTCTCTTCCTTTTCACAGATTGTTTTCTTATATGATCTTTCGATTGAAGAATTCTTCTTCCTCTTTTTCATATAATCAGTTATCTTTTCTAACAGGGAAGATAAAACGCAACCAACGATCAATATTTTTTGCTCTTCTTCCATACAATTTCTTTCCTCTTTTTAATTGTCGATAAACAAATGCTGATAACTGTACTTATTACACATACTATAAGAGTATACAATGATCGCCATTATTGAGGAATTTGTAGATTAAACGCTAAGAACGTGCGATATCGAAATCTAATTTTTTTTTCTTTTCTTTTTTTCTTTTTTAATAACTTGCTTAAAATGAAAAAATTCCAAACGAGGAAGTTCTGATCTTACAATTAATTAAATTTTATCAGTCTCTATTGATTACGTCGAGTACGCAATGTTTTTTATCTTTTTTTTTTTCTGGTTTCGTTGCAAATCACTTTGAAAAGAGAGCAAAATTATAAGCAAATTTTTTTTTAGATCAAAAATGACAAATCACGTTCGAATAGAATCCATCGAATGAAAACATTTTGACAAATATTTAATATTTTATTTTGTGCAAATGTTAAATTTGTTTTTTTTTCTCACTTTCGTGAAATAAAATAGGTTTATTAACAACCTTGAAATAAAATCATCTTGATGCATTATTATTGAAAATAAAATGTATGATATATTCGGTTGGCAAGAAAGTAATTTCGGTTTTCTAGTGTGAAATATTATTTTCTTGCCAATCCAATAATATTATATATTTCTACATATATATTAAAATACTTATATTATTTTATAATATAATAATATATATATATTTACTTATACTACCGAAATTACTTTCTTGCCAACCCAATATAATTATTGTACAAAATTATTTTGGAAAAAAAATTGAAAAAAAACACATCAAAATATAAATAAAATAAAAAATAAATTTAAAAAAAATAATCAATATTACTTGTTATTTTTTGTTTTCAGGGACGATGACGATGATATCGTTTACGAAGGAACAACACATTTGGTACGAGTGCCACGCACGAAGGAAACGGAATTATCCTTTGAAACCTCCTCGATTAAAATTCACGTAGACGGAATGAGATGTCAAAGTTGCGTTAAAAATATCGAGGGGACCATTGGAAGTCGTTCGGATGTTGTAAATATTAAAGTAGATTTAAATGAAAAACTTGCTAACATTGAATATAAGACTGAAGAAACAACACCAATGGAATTGGTGGAAGCTATTGAGGATATGGGGTTTACTGCCTTCCTAATATCCGACGACAATGATAAGCATAAAAATGATAAGAAACCAGTTGTTACAACTTGTTTTATACATGTCAATGGTATGACGTGTATGTCCTGTGTTAAATCCATCAAAAGTAAATATTTCTTTTTTTTTTTTTGTTATTGCATTAAACAATGCCAATAATTGAACATTATATCATTGATTTCTTGTTTCTTATTTTTTTTAGGTGCTTTATCAGATAAACCAGGCGTGAAGGAAGTAGATGTTAGCTTAGAGAAAAAGGAAGCTAAAGTTTCTTACATCATGGAGGATATAACTCCTGAACAAATAGCAACGTTTATTGAAGAGACTGGCTTCGATGCTTCCGTTAAAAATGAAAATAATTCTGTTAGCTTGACAATGGAAAGTAAAAAAACAAATGGAGAAATCAATATTAAATTAAACGGAAGTGGAGATGTTAATACCGTAACACGTACTACCAAATGTTTTCTACATGTAACGGTATGTGATTAAGATTCTATTAAAGTCATTGAAAAGTACATTTCTTCCATATCGTTATCGATCAATTCTCATTTCTTTTTAAATAAATGGATACGTATTGTTTGATTACAGGGCATGACTTGTGCGTCGTGCGTTTCTGCGATAGAGAAACATTGTAAAAAAATATACGGTGTACATAGTATATTGGTAGCTTTAATGGCTGCCAAAGCGGAAGTAGTCTTTGATCCGGATAAAATAAAAGCTATTGATATTGCTTCCAGTATCACTGAGTTAGGATTTCAAGCAACTGTGATCGATGAAGCTGGATCTGGCGAAGGGGAAGTTGAATTAAAAGTAAGTCATTATTATTATATTTATGAATTATGATTTGTTCTTCATTAGGTATCATAGTTTTTAATGTGAACAAATTTAAATTTTAAATTCAAAAATAACACGTATGAATATATGCATAATTATGTATAAATAATAATATTAAATGATTATTTTAGATCTCAGGGATGACGTGTGCTTCCTGCGTTAATAAAATAGAATCTACTGTAAAAAAGTTACCTGGTATACACTCTGCGTCCGTCGCATTGGCGACGCAACGTGGAAAATTTAAATACGATGCCGAGATCATGGGAATTCGTGATATCGTCGATAGTATTAATAAATTAGGGTTTACAGCTACTTTGTTCAGTAATAAAGATAGAGAGAACAGAGATTACTTAGATCAGAAGTAAGTACTTTTGTCTGTTAAAATACATTTTCACTGGACATGGAATATTTATTTTCATAATTGTTTCAAAATTTACTTAGAGAGGAAATAAAGAAGTGGCGATCAGCTTTTCTAATATCTTTAATTTTTGGAGTACCCAGCATGTTAATAATGACTTATTTCATGTTAATAATGTATGTGGATGATAAATCGCACGAAGATATGTGTTGTATATTGCCTGGTTTATCTTGGGAGAATTTATTACTTTTCATTTTTTCTACGCCAGTTCAGGTAACAAAAAATCCATATTTTTTAATATCAAATATTAGCAAATGTGTGTGTAGCTCTAAATAAAAAATAATTTATTTTTTTTAGTTCTTTGGTGGATGGCATTTTTATGTTCAAGCTTATAAGGCTTTAAAGCATGGCACTACCAACATGGATGTCCTTATTTCCATGACTACAACAATATCTTATCTTTATTCTATTGCCGTACTTACAGCAGCTATGATAATGCAAGAAAATAAAAGTCCACAAACTTTCTTTGATACTCCTCCAATGCTGTTAGTGTTCATTAGTTTAGGTAGATGGCTCGAATATGTTGCTAAGGTAAATACATTTTATTCGTCGTTCATCAATTATTATATTAATCGTTGTATTATTTTATTAATGATTATATTTTTTGTTATAGGGAAAGACATCAGAAGCTCTTTCCAAGTTACTTTCTTTAAAAGCAACTGATGCAGTTTTAGTAACGTTAGGTCCAAACAATGAAATATTGTCGGAACGTTTAATAAATATTGATCTAGTTCAACGTGGTGATATATTAAAAGTTGTACCAGGTGCTAAAGTACCTGTCGATGGTAGAATATTATCAGGTCAATCAACCTGTGACGAAAGTTTGATAACGGGTGAAAGTATGCCAGTGCCAAAGAAGAAAGGATCTATGGTTATCGGTGGTTCGATTAATCAAAATGGACCGTTATTAATTACTGCAACTCATACAGGAGAGCACACAACATTAGCACAAATTGTTCGATTGGTTGAAGAAGCACAAACTAATAAGGCACCGATTCAACATTTGGCTGATAAAATAGCTGGTTATTTTATACCTCTCGTTATAGTTGTCTCAGTTATAACATTAATTACGTGGATAATAGTAGGATACATCAGTGTAGATAAATTACCTCTGACGCACAATGATCAGATGCATAAAGAGTATACAAAAAGAGAAGAGATTATATTCCAATATGCTTTTCGAAGTGCTCTATCTGTATTGGCGATAGCTTGTCCTTGCGCGTTAGGTTTAGCTACGCCAACAGCTGTCATGGTTGGAACTGGTGTTGGTGCATTGAATGGTATTTTGATAAAGGGTGCCGAATCTTTAGAAAATGCGCATAAAGTCAAATGCATTGTATTTGATAAAACTGGCACATTGACGCACGGTGTACCTATGGTAACTAAAATAGCTCTGTTTGTAGATGAAAAAATATGTTCCATAATAAAGTTACTGGTAACAATAGGTACGGCTGAAATCAATAGTGAACACCCTATTGCATCAGGTAATAAACTATTAAAGATTGTATTAATATTTGACATTTTTTAATGGTGTATAATTGTACTTTATCGTTTTTTATAGCAATCGTTCGTTTCGTGAAGGAAACTACAGGTTCGGAATCTACTGGACAGTGTACTAATTTTCAAACGGTTGCTGGCTGTGGCCTAAAGTGTAAAGTATCGCACTTTAACACAGTAATATCCGATGCTTTGAAGTCTGAAAAAATAATCAATTATATGAACCAAACGAAGAAAGTATCTTCTGGAACTTTTAATCTGAACAATGTGCCAATAGATATTGTACCTTTTGTTGCTGCCACACAAGAGAAACAAAACTTAGATCTGCAATTATTATTGACTCCTGAAGGTAATAGTGATCAAATAGTCTCGAACGAGACATATGAGATTTGTATTGGTAATAGAGAATGGATGAGAAGAAATGCCATTAATATACCTCAAGAAGTTGAAGCACAAATGGTGACCGAAGAAGATCTTGGTCATACTGCTGTCTTAGTTGCTATGAATAATATTTTAGTTGCTATGATCAGCGTAGCTGATACAGTTAAACCCGAAGCACATCTTGCTATTTATACATTGAAGAAAATGGGCTTGCAAGTAATCCTTTTAACGGGAGATAACAGAAAGACAGCGGCATCAATTGCTAGACAGGTAAATAAGTTAATTAATTAGAAAAAAATGTATATATATATTTATAATACGATATGTTATTCTAGGTTGGTATTACCCGAGTTTTTGCCGAGGTTTTACCGTCGCATAAAGTTGCGAAAATTCAACGACTGCAAGATCAAGGCTTTAGGGTTGCGATGGTAGGAGATGGTGTTAATGATAGTCCAGCACTTGCACAAGCAGATATTGGAATCGCAATATCTTCGGGAACTGATGTTGCTGTGGAAGCAGCAGATGTTGTATTAATGAGGGTAAGTTGAAAAGAAACATTTATAAAAGATTTATATGTTTAATATTTCTAATTACTTTTAGAATGACCTTTTGGATGTAATCGCTTGTCTGGATTTATCTCGAAGAACTGTACGCAGGATAAGACTTAACTTTTTATTTGCTAGCATATATAATCTTTTGGGAATTCCAATAGCTGCCGGTATATTCAGTCCATTTGGTTTCTTTTTATTACCATGGATGTCATCTGCGGCGATGGCACTTAGTTCGGTATCTGTGGTTGGAAGTTCTTTATTATTAAAATTGTAAGTATATAAAAATAAAGTCAAATTATAGTAAAAATTTAATAATTAACATTTTCTCTTATTTTTCGTTTTATCGTAGATACAAAAAACCTACAAAAGCGACATTAGAAACACCAGAATACTTAGCAGCAATGCAGGCACACTCAACAGCCAGAATGATTGATCTCGATGCAATATCTCTTCATCGTGGATTAGATGAATCAGTAATGCCAGTACTAAATAGAACAACATCATCTCTTTCAAGGTATGATCGAACGAGTATACCTTATTCAGACTACTTGCAAAATCGTAATAACCCAACGGCTTAAAAACATTTCTGGTGAAATTGGATTATTTTCTTTTTTTAATAATATCGCTTTTAAGTTACTTAGTTACTAACAAATCGGACATATGTATTTTGTTTTGTTCTAATATCTAATTATTATACTCTCATATCTTCTTTTTATTCTTCTTTCTAACTTTTTATACTCATTTACGTTGAAATAATATTTAATTAATATTATAATATAAATCTTATAGTCAATTGTGTAATCGACTTATTAATAATGCAGGGTATAAACAATGTTGTCACTCTTGTACCTTTTACTAGATTGTATAGTAATAAACTATTTTTATTTCTTTTTTAATAGACATATTTTCTATATATTTTATATCTATTTAATTACTTTTTCTATAAAAAAAAAAAAGAAAAACAATATATATACAGGCTGTGAATTATGAACAAAGACATAATCAATCTTTCATTCAAATAATTGTAAAGATATATTATTATAACTTTAATTATAATATTTTACAATAATCAAAAAATTATGATATAAGACTGATTGTTCATTGATATGCAAATATTATGATTTAATGACTGGAAGAAAGTCATATCCATTTTTATAATGCATGTATTCATCTTCTTGCACTTGGTCTATTGTAAATATTGTAAATATATATATATATTATATGATTCATTGTACTCAAATAGTTAATACGTTATTTATTTTTTAAGTTATTATATTTTCTGTAAATTGTCTATGAAATAAATAACAAGAAAACAAAGAATAGTATGGATTTAAAAAAATCCATTTACCAGGCATGTGCTATGAGTGTGTTCATTCCGAATTGCTTGATACATTGTATTCAAATTATGCATAATATTTGTAGATAATATATAATAATACATATATATTGTAACATATTACGTAGTAATTATGCTTTCAGTAAACCAACCATTCAAAATAACAAAAGAGTTATTCATACCATTTCTAAAATTGCATTTAATAGAATGCCATTGTAATTGGATTTTTTTGAACTTATTGTTTGTTTGCATAATATTATTATTTAATTTTAATTATCGTTATATGGTGTATATTTAATACTTCAACTGCGAACAGTATTTATAGGCGTTGAGTAGAAATTATTCTTTCTCAATATTCTTTTCAGTTAATAAAGTTTTGTTATATCACGTTTTGTTTCTAAGCATTAGATAGTCGAAATGCTAATACTTACAAAAATAATGGATGTTGCTTGTAATTTTCTTTATTTTATTTTAATTACCAAGTAAATATGGTACCACTATTTTATTTTGTTGCAAATTAAATAACAAACGCTTTCTATCAAGACTTTTCTGTAACAATTATCTTATAAGTCTGTAAAAAGTTTCTTTGAATGAATAACCATTGGTAAGCTGTTTATTGAAGAAATTTTAAATAGAAAACTAACGAAGAAATAACTGCTTTGTAACATAACTATTAATAAGAAGTTTAAAAGATATCAGTTATTTATACATTCATTCGCAGGCTTTTTGGAAGGACAAGAAGTGAAATTGAAGGCAGACTACTTGGTGAAGATATGGATGATACTGATTTAGCTATCGATTTCCGTGATTATCGAAAAAGCAAAAAGGATCTTACTAATATAACACCTTTATAAACATTATAATGATGTAAGTTTAAAAGCCACTGTTATTATTATTATTATTATTAATTTTATATAAATATCCATTATATAAAAGTTTCACGTTGTACTTAACATATTATATGAATAATTTATTTAAAACATTTTATATTACAAGACAACCATGTGTATAAGTTAAAGATATGATATTTGGTCATATAAAAATTATTTAACTTTTTTTACGATTTAATAGACAATAATTTAAGGAGTACGAAATCTAACAATATCAAAATATATACATATTTTGTATGTATATTATATATTTTTTCATGTTAATATATATATGTATATATATATTATATTATTATAACGTTTATTTTCATGTTATTTAATATTACATCATGTAATGAACATATTCAATTTGAAAAAACAAGATTTGTCTATGTTATACACTTGACATGAAATATTTTATACGATGTAATTGTACCAAATGATAAATCAATTACAACATACATGCATATTTGCAATCAAATTTTTATATTGTATATATCAATCATGAAAGTATGTAATTATTATTAAAATAAATGAAATTTTTGTCCTGCATTATTAATTAATGTACTACAATTAATTTCAACATACTTTTTAAGATGTTGATTATCAAATAAAAGATATTTTATATTGGAATGTAATTGCGAAACTTGACTATTATTAAGATAGATCTACTCGTAATTATTATTTTTTTGCAGATCATAAATCTAATTATTGTCGACAAATATATTTTTATTTTATTGTAAATTTTATTCTTATATAATCGAGTCATAAATGAATGTTTTGCGATATCATGAATTTTTGTACTTACTGCATTATGCTAATTAACATTATGTTTGAAATATCCATTATATTTATACAATATTTGTACAGTACAAATTCTGATTAACAAGACCGTCTGTATTATTTAAAATAAAGATTATTGTAACAATATATTTTTTAAAAACAATTATGGATTTTCCTTTTTGAATAAGTGTACTTTTAAATCTAAATATGAATGATTTCATTTATTCAAAACTTTTAGATAATAAATATAGCATTGAGGCTTATCTACAAAAGCGCATAAACTGTTATTAGTCGATTTCAGATATTTTTCAATGTATTGTTATGTAAGATAATAATTTATTCTTAAAATATTGCATATCCTTTATTTCTATATAATTTTTCATATGGAAAAAGATTTTTTATTTAATTACATATTACACATAAATAATAATAAAAATAATAATAAAATAATACATGCAACAATATAAAAAATAATAGCAAATTAATATTCAATATTTGATCAATTATTCAATTAAACAATCAAGGCACACAATATTTGATCCCATATCGTATCTATAAAAAATGTTAATAAAATAAAAAATCATGACCAATCTTAGATACTTCAATTATAACATTCGATGAATATTCAATTATAATTACTTACTTGGGTAAGGAACAATTATCGCAGAATAGATCATTGCATTTCATACAATTATTTAAACAAGAGGAACATAACAACTCTTGGCAGTAAAAACATTTATTTGATAAGCTTGGATCTATTACTTGGAAACATCTACAAACGTCTACTTTTTTATCCTAAAAAATAATATCATTTTTTAAATGTAACTAATAAATATGAACAATTTTAAGAACTCAATACGTACAAGTTTAACATTATTATTATTTTCTAATTGTAATTTATTATTTAAAACCATTTGTTTGAGAGTGCGCTGGGGCTTTATTAATTTCTGAGAAGTTAACAATGCTGATGGTAATTCGGTTAAATCCATTTGATCATTATTCATATCTTGTGAATATTTTTTAGCGCCTTTTTTGAGTAAATTCAAGGTTTTATCTGAGATGATAAAATGTATTAAAAACAAAGTGTTTTAGGTTGTCCAAAAAAGTTATTTCATTAACTATAATATAGTATCTATTATGTCCATTATATTTTATTAAATAATATAGTATCGTATATAATAGAGTAAAATAACTTAAAATAACAAATACTATTCATGTAAGATAATTAAGAAAAAGAAATAAACTTTTAGGATAACCAAATATAATATTTTCAAAAATAATCAAAGAAACATAACCTCTTTACCATAAACTTCTTTCATTCGTCTTTCTTCATCAATTCCAGTATCTATTTGTTTTTGTCCTACGTGTATTTTTAATTGGGGAAGTAAATTGGTCTCCTCGTAAGGATAACATCGCTTAGGCATTTTTATTCAATTTATAAAGAACTATCAAAATTATATAAACTTCCAAATTTGACGATCAAAGTAATATAACCACAATTTCTCAATGATACGAATTAAATTTATTCTACATTAAATCACTCCAATAAATTACTCAACAAATATTACTTGAACTAAACTTTAATATTGACATTTACCATAGATTCGATATTTGTAAGAAAAATATTTGTTTACATATTGAAATTATCGATATCAAATTAGAATATAAAATTATCATAACAAAATATATAACTTATAAATAATTATCACGTATATTTTTGGAAAACAAACTTTTTTAATTGTTTGTAAATCATATTTTCTTTTGTTATTACTGAAATTATTAATTTTAATAATTAAAAATAAAAAAATAATATCGAAGCAATCGAAGTTTTGAATTTGCCGCGCACGCGCAGAGACAAGCAATTTGATAATGCGCGAAAGACGAATTTTAGATATTGCATTCTTTTATTTTTCGGAAAAATAAAAAAAGAAAATATATCATGTTATTTTTTAAGATGAAAATGAACCAATATAATTAATTGCAATTGATGAAGAATTAAAATGCAACAAAGTTAGTAATATTTGTTTATTAGTAATGTTGCATTATTATTATTACTTTTATACATATTTGATATTGGCCATCAACAAATATGTTACAATTCTCTTTTTTCATTACTCCTAATTCGCGTCGTATTTTTTCTTTCGTTTAGTTTTCTTTTCTTTTTTCTTGAAAATTAACGACATACATATCTTTTTCTTCTTCTTATGCTTCTTTCTCTTGTTTTTTGTTTGCTCGTTTATTTTCCTTCTTTCTAACCCCATTTTCTAATAATACATAATATTTTATAGTCGTAGCATGACAAACATTAGTATTTTAATTGCAAAATGCGATAACTGTGTGCTGCACCGCAATTATCAGCTCGTTCCACAAGTAAAATGTGTGAAATAACATTAATTTGTAAATTAGTCAATAGAATACGTAAAAATAAACCTATAACAAACGATACATATATATACATATACATATAATATATTATACATACATATATATATATATATATATATATATATATAAATCGTTTTCTTCTCTTTGGTAACCGTTGCATGTCTAATTAATTGCAGCAGACATCATATACGAAAAAATCACTATGATACGCTTATTAATTATTCGGGAATGATAATTTCCTAAGAAATATATAAGTATTAATTCTTAATTTCAATTTTGTTTACTTATTAGCAAGACCGTGAGACGATTGGATCACAATACGCGTACACCGTTGCTTGATTATTATTATTATTATTATTTATAAATTATTATTATTATTATTTATTATTTATTATTTATTATTAATATTAATTATTATTATTATTATTTATTATTATTATTTATTTTTATTATTAATTATTATTATTAAGAAAAAGACGGCGATTTGTTCTACTTCGAGGAACATGGATTGAAGGGTTATGTGTTGTTTGTTCATCGTAAAAAAATAGATCACTGCAAGTGCACTGAATATGTTGCATATGGGTACCTTGTTCGTTCATGCGTAAAAACGAATTACGCAATTGAAAAGGAATAGGTGACGAAATTCGACAAGAAAATGAGAAATCAATGAGCGATTCGTACAAGGCAGATACGATCGAAGGAATCGAATTTTTGAATTTGCCGCGCACGCGCACTTCGTAGCCTGCTTAAGACAAATTTTAAATACTTACTTCGCTATTATCTTTTTTTAGTTTTTTTGTTTTGTTTTTTAATAATGTGTTTGATATTTATTGAATCCTGTCGATCGATGTGAATTATTACTATCCAATCGGAAAACTATTTACAGTGTGTTTCATTATATGCGGAACTCATTTTAGGAATAAACAGGGTGGACACTTACAATAAATTATGTTCATACAAATATGCGCCTTATTTAACATTTCTTTCAAAGTTATAGCCACTTTTGTCTTTCAATAATCCAAAATTTATGAAACACCCTGTACATTTGTATGATGTACCGCCTTGTGCGATTCGTATTTTCTCGTGCACAGAGTGAGTACAAAATACATATATCATATAATACGTGTATGTTGGGATGTGTTACGTGTGTATATGTATGTATTTCTTTTTATTATTTCCTTTTCCATCCCCAATGTCAAAGGACTTAAAAGCTTTGTAAAACGTTCCCTTAGTCAATGTTCTCTCTTTTCGTTTAGTAGATTTCTTTATATATATATATCGATATCTATTTATGTATTTACAAATACACAGAGAAGCGAATAAATCGTGCAAAGCGTTATGATGTAGTTTTTAATACGCGTTTCAAAATATATTTAGCAATGCGTGTATTGACATTTAGATTTTATGAAAGATCATTAGGTTTAATTAGATTTTCGTTTGACTAAAAAATTTGTCAGTTTGTCGTTCACAATGTCATTTAATACCAAACATATGCATTGTATGATTTTCTATTTTGTTGTTGTTGTTTCTTGGTGAAGAATATGATGTCATCATAAAAATTTTAGGAATCAGTGCACGCTACATTTTTTTAACGCGTATGAGGATCCTTAGTGATACAAATTAGAAATTATGTCTTATTTTTCTTTTGCAGAGAGAGAGAGAGAGAGAGAGAGAGAGAGAGAGAAAGAAAATAAAAAAGAATAAGAGAGATAAATAGTAACAAGAGAAAGAGAGAAATAGAAAAGGAGGAAAAGAAAGCGTTGTTGCACTTACAATCGTTATTGTCAGTTGTCATGGACGTTTTTTTTCTGCTGCATATTATCGACATTAAAAAGATTAGAATATTTGAAGAATACACGGAAAGTTTTGATCTGACAAACAGAAGAGAAATTAAAATATATATATATAAATATTTTTAAAACATTATTTTTCAATCTCTACCTTTTCCTTCTTCCTTTACTTTCTTCTTCTCCACCATTTCTCTTTCTATTTCTCAAAAAAAAAAAAAAAAAAAAGAAAAGGAAACAACAACCCTCTTAATTCACATCGAACGTTAAACATTTTCATCTTCGAATAATTCTAATTATGTTTCTGTAATTATTTGTATGACTTTTTTGAATGTACTGTAATGTGATATTTTTAAAATAACCGTAAAAATGGTCGCTTCATTTTGTTCTCTTTCCTTTTTTTTTTTATTTAACTTTTTTTTCCTTCTTCCTCTTTTCTTTTTTTTTTATTATTATATTTATAATATAATAATAAATAATTAGGTATTTAATAATAATTTATATAAATATTAATTATATGTATATAAATTATAATAATAATAATTAGGTATTTAAGGTATTAATAATTAATTTAGGTAATTTAATTAAATTAAGGTATTAATACCTTATTAATACCTTTAAAAAGGTATTAATTAATAAGAATGTTCGTGTATGTGTGTGGTGTCTGTTTGTGTATTCATATTCTCGTTTATGTTGTTAAAACAACGTTATCGAATAATAATTATAGCGTCGATTAGGCTACAATTGTTTATTACGTTAACGAAGGATCTCGATGAGATTTTATTCTTGTTTTATTTTTTTTTTCTTCATCTCTAATCATTTTATATTGTTTTAAACAACATCTTTCACTGATATGTGGGTTCCAATGAAGATATTCTGGTCGATTTTTTTGTTGAAAAACACATTGATTTGTCACACCTAATTTATTTCTTTTTTTTTTTTTTTTTTTTTTAAATAACAACGATAATTCAACGATGATCCTCCGTAAACGTTAAGTGTGATTTAATTATTCATAATTTTATGTTGTTCTTTTTCATTTTTACGTTATATTCAATATTATAATTATAATTATTTAATAATTATTAATAACGTTCATCGGCTCGTCGGAGGATTTAATAGCTTGCTTTTTTATTTTTTTTTATTATTATTAATATTATTATTATTATTATTTTGTTCTTTTTTTGTAATCGGTGAAATTCATACATATATATTACACACGTGTACATTCATCCATATACACATCATACGTACATACAAACATGCATACATACATACATACGTACACATATTTCGAAGCGACGCGTCGTATTGGCTACACACACACGATCATTTGTTACTTTTTTTTAAATATTTCCAATTATTATTATTATTTTTATTCATCGACGCGATTTTTTCGTACAAAGTCTCTCGACGGGGTGGGGGCCCTGGGACAAAAATTCGTTCAAATCGTGCTGACGAATTAAGCCGAGTGACAAATAAGCTTTTTTCCTTTTTTTTATTATAATTATAATTATTATTATTATTATTATTATTATTATTATTTATTTTCTTACGTATATACTATTTATCTAACAGCGTGACGTATATGACGTTTAAAAAGAAGCGTCTAAACGATACTATATAAATATATATTTATATATATATATATATAAACAAAATTAATAAATAAACAAATAAATAACATAACATAAAAACAATTAATAATAAATATTTATGATTTATCTATTCAAAAAATGATCGTTAAAGATTTATATACTTTAGTGTACTTACGTTACAAATTACGTTTAAATTAAAATTTCACTAAATCTTGACTAACTAAGCGGACATATTTGTTTTTGTCGTGCGTTAACAAACTCTTAATTACATATACAATTCGAATATTATACATTGTCAATTTATATTGTAAATATATTGAACAATTTTTTTTGGTTTTATTTTAATTTATATTGTCAATTGACAATGTATATATATATATGGAAAGTATATGTTTTGTTGTAAAAATCGCACGACTAAAGTAGTCCTAAGAGGGAGAGAGAAAGAGAGAAAATGTGTGTTTGGGGGATACAGATAGAAAGAGAAAGAGAGAGAGAGAGAGAGAGAGAGAGAGAGATTAAGGGTGTGATATATATATAAAAATTGGGAGAGAAAGAGTGAGATTCATAAGGAATCAACAATTACATGAACGTTTTAGAAACAGCAGGATAATAATGAATAATAATCACAAGCGAAAGAAAGAGAGAGAGAGAGAGAGAGAGAAAGTGTTTGTGTGTGTGTATCTTACTGATAGTACACTGATGTATGGTAAGGGTTTGTGTTTTCTGTGTTTTAAAAATGTTTCGTAATTACGAACGAATTATTTGTTTTTAAATTTCATATGTTTTTCCGATTTAAAAAGGTGATTACCTTGAAACTTGTTAAATTTAATAAGCAAGCGACACGAGCC